AATGTGAATTATATAGATCAAAACATATGTACAAATACACCGGGTATACCCAGGTACATCTCATGAAACACAATAGTAATCACAACTACTCCAAGTTAACCTGGGCCGAAACGAAGACAATAAATTTTACTCGACTAGCGCTAAGGACTCAAAAAGAATTAAAACATGTGGATACAATGAAAACATAACTTTGTATACATGTGTTTTAATCCGCCTAACAACGCCTTGAACCTGTGCCTTGAGTCCATCAAAAATTCTCCTGTTCCGTGCCGTCCATAAATGATACACGGTGCTTGCAAGTGCTATCTTTTTGGCCTTGCTGTGCCATGTAGTACCACGGGCCTCTTTCCTCATCCATTTCAACGCACTAGGTAGAGTAGTCATAGTGCGCCTGATACCAAGCCATCGACGAATCTGTTCCCAAATTGTTGCACTAAATGGGCAATTAAAGAAAAGATGTTGCTCCGTTTCCACAGCCCCATTACAAAAACAACAGTTTTGATCAATATCCAAAAACGATAGTTTATCTTTAGTAAGCAGTTTTGACTGCACTCCAAGCCATAAAATGAAAGCATGTTTAGGGGTAATTGAGGTGTTCCAGATGGTACCTGCCCAGGCTTTCTTCACCCCTTTGTTCCTGAAAAATTCATAGGCTGATTTAATGCAAAACCTGCCAGATTTTCCCCATTCGGTCAGCCTGTTCTGTCCATTCTGTGGATGATACTGGCCAAGTCCACTAGATGTCCGTTGAGGGGAGTATAGAATCTGCCCAGCCCCACACGTCGTCCCCTGAACTCGTACATTAGTCCCACCATTCACAGGCTGCTGTGTCGACCCACATGCATTGGTCTGTCTATTTCCAATCACAGATTGGGCAGCAAGTGCATTGCCGATTCCAGATTGTCCAATAAGTCTGTCCATACAGTCATTCCCAGTCACGGCACACTGTTTCCTCAATTCCAACAGCCTTTTGATTAGGGGCGAATCATCTTTCCTGCCCTCATAATCCCAAATATTACAGCCATGTAAGAAAAATTGGTTGATCCATTTGACCCATAATGTATCCTTTTTGCAGTGGATATTCCAAAGGGTCTTAGCTAAGAGCGAGGAGTTCCAGCATTTCATTTCTCTAAAACCAAGTCCCCCTTCAGATTTCGGTAAGCAGAGTTTGCTCCATGCAACTAGAGGTTTTCTTGATCCCCATAGGAAATTCCTGCAAATGGCCACAATTTTAGAGATGACCGTGGATGGGATAGGCAAGATTGATAGCCAGAAGCATTCAACCCCTTGCAATACCGCTTTGATGAGTTCCGCCCTACCCGCATAAGACAGTGTATTTCTAGCCCATGCTCCAATATAACTTGAGATCTTGTTGATAAACAAATCATACGAGCTAACTTTTAATTTTTCCGCCGCAAGTGGAATACCCAGATAGCGGAAAGGCATAGTCCCTTTGGTCATATTAGTAATCTGATGAATCTCTTCCAGCTCAATTCCATGCACACCCGCCGTAAACAAATTGGACTTGGTTACATTCATCCGTAGTCCCGACATATCCCCAAATTTATTCAAACAATCCATAATGATACCTACCGAGATAGGATCTCCCCTTGCAAATAACATCAAATCATCGGCGAATGCTAAATGAGTAATTTTCAACGACCCACATTTGGGATGGTAGTTGAAATCACTATCCTTAGTCATAGTCTTAAGCATTCTGGAAAAGTATTCAAGGCAAATGACAAATAAAAAGGGTGAGAGTGGATCACCTTGTCGAAGACCTCTTCTTCCCTTAATGAATCCATAAAGCCCTCCATTAAGTCCAACAGAATAAGTTGCAAATGAAATGCACTCCATTACCCATCCAATGAATTGTAATGGAAAACCAAGTCCAACAAGTACATCACGTAGGAAATCCCACTCCACCGAGTCATAGGCCTTCTTAAGATCAATCTTAAGAAGACATCTAGGAGCCACCCTCTTCCGATTGTATTGTCTAAGGAGTTCCTGTGCGAGATGGATATTTTCCACCATACTTCTTCCATCCACAAAAGCCGCTTGGGCTTGATCAATGATAGGTCCAAGTAGAGGTCCCATCCGAGATGCAAGGATTTTGGTGATGACCTTGTAGAATACATTACAACATGCAATAGGCCTATAGTCCCCAACTGTATTTGAGTGGTTTGCCTTAGGAACCAAAGCAATAACCGTGTGGTTAGTTTGCTTAAGTAATCGATTGGAGTTAAAGAATTCCATCACTGCTTCCGTAAAATTTTTACCAACAATGCTCCAAGCTTTTTTGAAAAAACAGGAAGAATACCCATCCGGACCCGGAGACTTGTCGTCCCCAATGGAGAATAAGGCATTCTTAATTTCATCCTCCGAGATATCTTTAATCAGAGTTAAAGCATTCTCATCCGTAAGGCTAGGCCCTTCCCTCAAGAAATCATCATCAATTTGTGTTCCCAGCCTGTTTTTTCCCAGATTGTCATTATAGTATTTGACAAATTCATCGGCAACTTCCTCCAAAGATGATGTAAGAGTACCATCCTCCTTTGTAATTTTGGAGATAAAATTCCTCTTAGTATTCCTTTGTACCATGGAGTGAAAAAATTTTGTGCATTTATCACTCTTAATAAGATGTTCACACTTAGCTTTTTGGCAATAAAAGCTCCTTTCTGCTTCCCCCAAATCTATAGCCTTCTTCCTCAAGGTAGCTACATTATATTGGAGTTCATCATTGCAAGGATCATCATGTAGCTTCAATTGAGCTTCTTTCAAGTTCAAATTAGCCATACTTGCTCTAGAAGATATATGAGCATAGTGTTTCTCATTAAATCTCCGTAATTCCCCCTTTAAGGCTTTCAACTTTTTGCAAAGTATGAATTGCTTGGTTCCTCTGACCTCAATCTCCCAACAATTGTGAATGACTTCCAGAAAATTTTCATGGTTGGTCCACATGTTGAAAAATCTGAACGGCTTCTTTTTATTGCTCCCATTCCCAAACAAAGAAGTAATACACGGTGAATGATCTGAAAGGCAACCCGAAGGTAGATAATTTGCAAGGCTATTGTATCCCTTTTGCACCCATAGGTCATTTACCATTGCCCGGTCAATTTTGCTCCACTTGGAATTGTTGGTCCAAGTATAGAAACACCCTATAGATCGCACATCCGTAAGACCAACAGTGGTGCAGACATTTTCAAAATCTCTAACTTCATACGGGGTGACCGCAGTACTATTGCATCTTTCATTAAAATGAAGGACATTGTTGAAATCTCCCATAATCAACCATGGTAAGGAGCACATCGATCCAAACTTCATAATATTATCCCAAAGAGGCCGACGACTAACAATCGAATGAAAGCCATAAACAAAACTAACCATGAATTTTTGTGAGGTTACCTTGCAAGTAATGGCACAGTGGATGATTTGAGAGGAGATTTCCAAAACTTCCAGTTCCACTTTTAAGGGATTCCATAATACCAAAATACGTCCCGCTCTGTGACAGGAGAAATTGTTGATTTGACGAAAATTTCCAAACTTGTTGCACATGATATGATCAAGCTTATTCACTTCCAACTTAGTTTCCAGGATACCCATAACATCTATATTATGATGTTTGACAAAATGTTGAACACCCTTTTGTTTTAGGGAGGTGTTCATGCCCCTAATATTCCAGGAGCAGCAAATCATGTTGTTGATGAAGAAGGATTATTTCCCTTCTTTCTATCCTTTGTGGTGGTAGTGTGTTTTGGCTTTCCATCCTCTTTGCCTATACCCTTCCCAGCTGTACAGGTAGTCTTATTCGTATCATTCCCAGCCATACGTCCTACCTGAGATTTGGAGGTTTCAGAACTGACTATATTCTCCATTGCCTTCGCTTTCTTTTTTGTGGATTTTTTCTTGTTCGTAACTTCAGTGAATTGCCCCTCAATTATGTTCTGTTCATTTTGCAACATATCAGCAGGTACCTTCTCAGGGTGTCCAGTGCTCAACCTTTTAGGTTCTGTCTTATCCGGTAAGGCAGTATCATTCGACTCAAGTCGCCCACCACTGTTTTTTCCTGCTGAGTATTCTGTGTTTAGGGCAGCTGTACTACCCTCTGCCATAGCAATGTTCGTCCGTTCAGCTTGGGTTTCGGTGGTCCCATCTTCCTTGTTCTTTGCTTTCTCAGTAATTGCTTTCTCAGTTTTCTGTTCCTCATTAGCCACAGTATCAGTTTCCCCCTGCTTTTGGTTTTTGTAGTGGCATCCAGAAGATGAATGCCCAAAAACTTTACATTCACTGCAGAATTTAGGCTCATGTTCAAAAATGACTTCCTGCTCCCTTAATTTGCCATTATATAGCCTCAATTTGACATTTCTGACCAATTCTTTTGAGGCATCTATTTCTACAAGTGCTCTTGCAAAAGACAGTCTCCCCCTTTTTGCAGTTACTTTGTCAATAGAGATCGGCTTGCCAATTTTGGAAACAATTCTACTTAGTACATTGACATTCCATAGCTCCAACGGCAGTCCTGGTAGGTTAATCCACACTGGCATCATGCTGACCTCCTTATCATCAAATTCAAAAAGTTCAGGCATTGATTTAAGTGTCAGGTGCCTACCAAAAACAAAATATGGTCCTCCATGTAAGACACTTAGCCTCTCCGCATCCGTTTCAAATTTAAAGATAAGCCATCCACTGGAGTGTACAGAATACTGATAATGAACATTCCAAGAGTCACATAGTTTGAGGAGTGCCTGTTTACCTGGAAATCTTCCAACAAAGAATCCAACAAGACCAAAACCCCAAGCATCTTCAATTTTATCACCCTCTGATTGTTTAATAACCACCTCCTCCGAAGAAGTATCAGTGAGAGTCAATTTCAAACTATCATCACACAAACGATTGTCTTTAAACAGGCTAACCCAGGGGGCTTTGGCGTTACCTGTATTCCCTTTCAAAGCATTATTAGCATCCTGAGGCTTTGCAACTGAGTCATCCGATTCAGTATCCTTAGTACCAAGTGTGCACGAAGTAGAAGGAGAATTTGCCAGATCACCCACTTCAGATTCAGCTTCATTACGTGGATCAGTAGCAGTACCACTGTTCATAGCAGCCGCATTTCGGACAGTGGCGTCCAGCCCAGAGGACTGGGCAGAAAGTCCTCCAGCAGAGCCCAATAAGGGAGCAAGCCCAGTAGAGGCTTTACCATTAGTGTGCACTGGCCCAGTAGCACCAGACGATTTCTTCTTAGCCATAGGACCAAAGGAAAAACAAGAAGGAAGTAGAAGCCCAGACAGATAGGCCCAAAAGATGGCCCAGGACAACCCACACAGGAAGAGAGAAAATCAGCAGTCCAACCCACAAGCACAGTAAAGCCCAAGAAAAGCGGGTTGGCCCAACCTTCGGGAAACACGCAACCACTCCACCGGCAGTGGGCAGGCGAAAGGACGCAGGTCACACCGAAGATGGCAGGGAAACAGCAGAAAAACCGGAAAAGTGCTGCCACCGGACAGCGACCCCAGAAATTTGAAATTCGAAAACCACAAACCAGGAACCAGTATCACCAAAACCACCAAAGCCCACAACACACAGACCACCAAGAACACGCACGCAAGAAAACCACAGAAAGCAACCAGAAAACCTGCAGCACCCAAAGAAGACAGCGCACAAAAACGGCTAAAACCACAAGAAGCTGAAGGGGCCAGTACCAAACCGAAAACACAGAGCTCCAGAGAAGCCCAGCAAAGCCAGAAAACCAAATCAGAAAATACGAGAGGAGAGTCAGAAGCAATTACAACACCACTGAGACCTTCACACAAATCCGATTTAGAAGCCAGAAGAAAACCCCAAACAGGAACGATGAGAGCACCCAGAAAATCCAGCAGATGAACAGACCGAAAATAAAATTAACGAAGAGTCACCCACTGTAA